TCCACAGCCAGTCCTCTATCCACTGTGCCACATAGCTGCCCCTGGCAAAACAGATTCTTAAAGGGAAAAAAAAATAAAGAGAAGGAAAAGTATATGAGAATAGGATGGGGGGAAATACACAATTAACAATCATAATTGTAAATGTGAATGGAATGACTCACTCATAAAACAGAAGAGGATAGCAGAATAGATTAGAAACCATAGTTAAACAATTTGTTGTTTATAAGAAACACATTTGAAATAGGAAGATACACATAGAATTGAAATGAAAAGCTGAAACAGAATCTATTATGTTTTAGCTAAAGTTAAAAAAAAAACAGGGGTAGCAATCATGATCAAGGACAAAACAGAATAAAAAATAAAACCAATTACAAGTGATCATAGGGAAGCTACATATTGCTTAAAAGTACCATTAATATCAATAGTAAACATATGCATCAAATGGCAAACATCTAAATTTTTCAAGGAAAAGTTAAATGAGTTACAGGAGGAAATAGAGGACTTTCAAGCATTCTTTGTGAAAGGATCAAAGTTGAGGAAATAGATAATCAATCTATAATAGTAGGGGACCTTAATGTACCACTCTGACCTGGGTAAATATAAACCAAAAAATTTTTAAAAAGAAATAAAAGACCTGAATAGAATTTCAGTGATGTTAGATATACTAGACCTCTGGAGATTAATGAATGGAAATAGAAAGGAGTATATCTATTTCTTAGTTACGCATGTCATTTTCACAAAAATTGCCCTGTATTAAGGCATAAAATCCTTACAAACTTATTCAGAAAAGCATAAATGTTAAATGCATCTTTTATAAACCACAATGCAATAAAAGATATGTTCAATAAAGAGTTACTGGAGAAATGATTAAAAATTCATTAGAAACTAAATATTTTAATCCTAAAGAATGGATCAAAGAACAATTCATAAAAACAATCAATGATTTCATTAAATATAATGGCAACAATGAGACAACAGAACAAAATTTGTGGAATACAATCAAAGTAGTTCTTAGGGAAAATTTATGTATTTTAATTCTTATATCAATAAAAGATAGAAACAGTAAATCCATAAAATACGCATACAACTAAAACAAATAAACTAGAAAGCCTCCCAAGTAAATTAAATTAAATTAAAACCTCCCAAGTAAATACATTGGGTGTGCAATTAAAAAAAAAACCTAGAAAAAGAACCAATTGAAAATCCCCAATTAAATGCCAAAATGGAAATCCTGAAAATCAAAGGAGAGATTAATAAAATTGAAAGTAAAACAACTATTGAACTAATAAATAAAACTAGGAGATAGTTTTATGAAAAAAAACAATAAAATAGATAAACCATTGGTTAATTTGATTAACAAAAAGAAAGAAGTAAACCAAATTACCAGAATCAAAAATAAAAAGGGTGAATTCACAACCAATGACAAAAGAATAAAAACCATTATTAGGAGCTATTTTGCCTGACTATATAAGCCAGTAAAACAGACAGTCTAAATGGAATGGATAAATATTTACAAAAATATCAGTTGCCCAAATTAACAGAACAGGGAACAAAATACTTAAATAACCCCATCTTAGAAAAAAAATTGAGCAAGCTATAAATGAACTCCCTAAAGAAAAATAAAACAGGATCAGATGGATTTATAGATAAGTTAAAGAACAATGAATTCCAATACTATATAAACTGAAAAAAATGGGTAAAGAAAGAGTCTTACCAAATTCCTTCAATGGCAAATATGATCTTGATAACCTAAACCTGAGAGAGTCAAAACAGAGTAAGAAAACTATAGACCAGTTTTCCTAATGAATATTGTTACCAAAAAAAAATTAAATAAAATACTAGCTAGGGGATTACAGTAATATATCACAGATTATACCCTATGACCAAGGTAGATTTCTACCAGGAATGCTGGTTGGTTTAATATGAGGAAAACTGTAAGCATAATTGACTATATTAAAGCATAATAAAAACTAAAAAAAAGTCACAATTATTTCAACGGATTCAGAATTTTTTTAATAAAATACAATATCCATTCCTGTTGAAACACACACACACACACACACACACACACACAAGCATAAAATAAGTGGAACCTTATTGAAAATTAGTACTTAAAAGAAAAAGCAAGCATTATATATAATGCGAATAAGCTGGAAGCCTTTCCAGTGAGATCAGGAGAGAAAGCAAGGATGTCCATTATCACCATTACTATTCAGTATTCTCCTCGAAATGCTAGCTATAACAGTAAGACAAGAAAAAGAAACTGAAGGAAGAAGCATAAGCAAAGAGGAAACAAAATTATTACTTTGGTCAGATGATATTAAAGTTTACATAGAGAATTCTAGAGAGTCTATTAAAACCTAATTGAAAAAATTTATAACTTCAGGAAAATTTCAATATATAAAATAAAGGCATACAAATCATTAGTATTTCTGTAAATTACCAACAAAACCTAGCAGGAAGAGATAAAAAGATAAATTCCATTTAAAATACTACAAATGGTATAAAATGCTAAAATGAAATAATATAAAATAATAGTATATAATACTAGTATAAATAGTGTAAAATGCTAGTGAATAGCATAAAATACTAGACTTGGGAGACTACCTACCAAGACACACACACACACAAGAACTTTATGAACACAAACACAAAACATTCTTTACACAAATAAAGTCAGATCTAAGTGGAGAAATTAATTGCTCATAGGTAGGTAGAGCCAATATAATAAAAATGATAATATTACCATGATTAATTTATATATTCAGTGCCATATCAATCAAACTACCAAAGAATTACTTTATAGAGCTAGAAAAAATAACAAAAGTTATCTGGAGGAATAAAAAGTCAAGAATATGAAGGGAATCAATAAAAAAAAATGAGAAGGAAGAAGCCTAGGAGTACCATATCTCAAGTGATATACTACAAAGCTGTAATCATCAAAATAATTTGATGTTGGATAAGAAATAGAGAAGTTGATCAGTGAAACAGATTAGCTATACAATATACAAAAGCAAATGAACAGAGTAATCTAGTGCTTGATAATCCCAAAGATTCCAGCTATTGGTGAAAGAACTCTCTATTCAGTAAAAACTGTTGGGAAAACTGGAAAGCAGTCTGGCAGAAATAGGTATAGCCGTCGTATCATATCATATCCACATCATATCATATCACATCATATTCCAAGATAAGTTCAAAATGGGTACATGATTTAGACATAAAGGGTTACATCATAAGCAAATTAGTGGACCATGGCAGAAATTACCTGTCAGATCCGGGGATAAGAGAAGAGTTGATGACCAAATTAGAGATAGAAAGGTTCACAGGAGGTTAAATAGGCAGTTTTGATTATTTAAAATTGAAAAGGTTTTGCATAAATAAAACCAATGAGGGGAAGCTAGGTGGAACAGTGGGTAGAGCTCTGGCCTTGAAGTCAGGAGGACCTGAGTTCAAATCCGCCTCAGACACTTGATACTTACTAGCTGTGTGACCCTGGGCAAGTCACTTAACCCCAATTGCCTCACCAAAAAGCAAAAAAATTTTTTAAATTAAAAAAACAAAACAAAACAATGAAGCTAAAATTTGAAGAAAAGCAGGAAACTGGAGGAGAAAATCTTTGCAGCAAATTTCACTGATAAAGGCCTAATTTCTAAGATACATAGAGTAGAGTCAAATTTGCAAGAATAAGAGTCATTCCTCAATTGATAAATGGTCAAAGGGTATGAAGAGGTAGTTTTCAAAGGAAGAAATCAAAGCTATCAATAGCCATGTGAAAAAATGCTATAAATCACTAATAATTAGGAAGATACAGATTAAAACAACTCAGATTGGCTAAGAAGACAAAAAAAAGGAAAAATGACATGCTAGAGGAGAAGTGGGAAAGGCCTGTTGGTAGAGCTACAGACTAGTCCAACCATTCTGTCCCCAAAAAGATATTAAACTCTCCATACCCTTAGACCCAGCAATACTTCTATTAGATCTATACCCCAAAGAAATAGAAGAAAATGGAAAAGAGCATATATGTACAAAAGTATTTATAGCTGCTCTTTCTAAGGTGGCAAAGTATTGAAAACTGACAGAATGCCCATCAACTGGAGAATGACTGGACAAATGAATCGTATATGAATACGACAGAATACAATTGTGCTATAAGAAATGATAATGGGGATGGTTTCAGAAAAATCTGGGAAGACTTGTATGAACAAATGCAAAGTGAAGTGAGCAGAGCTAAGAAAACAATTTATATAGTATCAACAATATTGTAAAAATAATCAACTCTGAAAAACTAAGTAACTCCAATCAACATAATGATCAACTACAATTCCAAAGGACTCAAGAGGAAATGTGCTAAGCACCTCCAAAATAGAGGACTGATGGACTGAGATTGCAGAATGAATTATATTTTTCTTCTTTCCTTCTTTTCTTTCTTTCTTCTTTCTTTTATTTCTTTCTTTTTTTTTTTAGACATGGTAGTGTGAGAATTAGTTTTGCATGACTATATATATTTAAAATGGGTTTTGTTTTTCTTGTCTTCTCAATGGGTGGGGGGGAGGAATGGGAGGGAGAGAATTAACAACTGAAAATAAAATAAAATGCACCTAAAAAATAAAGTCAGTAGTTAGCTTAGCATATAAAATAATATGTTTTCTTTAAAAATGAGGGTGAGCTACTATTTGAATATGATCCAGGTCCACTAAATTGGTTTGAAGGGGGTGGGTTTCAAGAATACTTTTCCCTTCCCTATTTAACACTCCTAGCACTCCCCCTTTCTCACAGTTCATTGTTTTTGACCAGTAGATGGCAATGTCTTTAGTCATTTCCTTCATATTGTACCAACTGATTTTTTATGTTATTTTTACAAAGTTGAATTTCCTGTGTTTTCCAATTAAGGTCATAAAAAGTGGTCCATATTTTTTCCGAAGCCAAAAATGAGTGGATATTATATATCTTATATCCATGTATGCATGTTTTTCAAAGTTCTCAAAACTTCTGTTTTTTAGGGTGAAAATCATCCTACTTCTTCAATAACATCTATAGATATAGAAACAGTATTCCTTGCTGATTCATTTGCCACTGTAGACTTTCAGGCGGGACATCAGTTCTATGAAATCAACTTTAAAGGTATAATACTTATGCTTTCCTACTTAACCAGAGAATGGTAGATTTTAATGCCACAGCTGATGGTCAAAGAACTATCCACACTCTAGTATTAAGAAGCAAAAGAAGAAAGACATTTTATTGAATTGAGTGCTATGCCCATGTTTGAATGAAAGACAATATCACAAATACTAAAACAATTTAAATTGTGTCCTTATAGCTTCCTGAATAAGGGAAGAAAGTGAGGGGGCAAAGGCAGGATAGCCTGAAACATTCAATATGAGGGAATTAGGTTCATTAAAGGCAGTGGGTCCAGTAGAATGAGTTCTGAACTTTGAGTCAGGAAAGATCTAGGTTCAAAGCCTGCCTGTTAGCATTTATCATTTGTATTACCTTGGGTAAGGTAACTGACATCTCTAAATCTGGGAATAATAATACTGTTGGTATGTAGTACTGCATACATGTGGTTACACAGTTGTTGTAAGGACCTAGTGAGATCGTGTATTTTGAAGCCTGACGCATAGTAAGTGCCGTATAAATGTTAACATTATTATAATGCTTATCATTATCATTTCCCTTTACAAACCCTAAAGCAAAGTCAAAACAGTTTTGCTTGCAGACAAATTTGAAGGGTAGAAGGATGATAATTTGGGCTTGGTATCCCTTGATGTCTCCAGCTTTCATTGATGCACATGTGTCCTAGCTCTACCAGTTTCTGACTTCATCATAGATTAGCTGTGGAGAGAGAAGCCAGATGTGATAAAACGAGCCTGGGTTACAATTTACGCTCTTCATGACATTGAGGAATAGGAAATAATTCTCAGTGATTCCACTTGTGTGCTGTTGTAAGGTATCGTGGTTGTTGGCTATATCTGAGTGAGATTCATTGGGTTCTCAGCAGCCAATACTTGGTACTCTTCTCACCATATTAACCTTAAAAGTAGTATAAATGCCACTGTATTTATTCTGGCTGCTTCTGAAGCAACCTAAGGACATAGCTTAGTTGGTGTAGCCAGAAGATCTAGAAATGGAGGGAATGATGCCCCCTTCTCTAACACCTTCTCTAACACCACAGATGAAATGGCTCTCAGGACAATTGAATCCTTTCAGACTTTGTGTGTGTGTGTGTGTGTGTGTGTGTGTGTGTGTGTGTGTGTGTGT